TGGGGGTGGTGGTGGTGGTGGTGGTGGGGGTGGTGGTGGTGGTGGTGGTGGGGGTGGTGGTGGTGGTGGTGGTGGTGGGGGTGGTGGTGGAGGTGGTGGTGGTGGTGGTGGTGGGGGTGGTGGTGGGGGTGATGGTGGTGGGGGTGGTGGTGGTGGGGGTGGTGGTGGAGGTGGTGGTGGTGGTGGGGGTGGTGGTGGTGGTGGGGGTGGAGGTGGGGGTGATGGTGGTGGTGGGGGGTGGTGGTGGAGGTGGTGGTGGTGGTGGTGGGGGTGGTGGTGGTGGGGGTGGTGGTGGTGGGGGTGGTGGTGGAGGTGGTGGTGGTGGTGGTGGGGGGGGTGGTGGGTTTGGCGTGCAGCAGTGACGCGACACTTGGGATGGATGTCAGAGTTGGGGGATCACTCAAAGGAACCCCGCTGGGCTGCAAGGTGGCTAGGAGATGGCAGCACAGCCCGTGGTCTCTTGCGTGGGTTGGGGTTCCCGCCGGTACAGCCCCCCCCCCCCGTCTCCACCCCGCTCGCAAAGGAACCCTCCAAAAGGAATTGACTCAACGTCCCAATGCAGGACCCTCCTGAAAAGAAGTTTTGAGACTGACGGAGTTTTCTTTCTTTCCTGGATCCATAAATGCCGTTGGGGGAGGGCTTGGTTTATGCTATATTGGAAATTGCTTCACAAATGACAGCTTTTGTACGACTTTTAGGGTTGTTGTTGTTGTTTTTCCTGCCCTGGTCGGGACAGAGAGATATGTTGACGGGAGGCGCTTGGCAGAGCGGCGTCAACTGAAGCCTCCTGCGCGGAGCGGCCGCGTGTTCGCCGCTTGGTAAAACCGGTTCGCGGTTATAACCTGACAGGCCGCCGCCCCGGTCAATACCGCGGGTGTGAAAATAACTACAAAACACGTGACACCTGCTTCGCGGTGGAAATACAAATTCCCATGACGTCATTCGAGCAAGACATCGTGTGCTGATGTCATGGTCCAAATTGGCCAAATTTTCTAAAATCGCAAATTGTAAAATGAATAAATTGGGAAACGCAAAGCAGAAGCGAAGCGGTCGTGGTCGCCAAATAGTGCAGACAACTTGGAAGGCCGCTCCTAAACAGAGTCTTGGCATTCCGCGAGGCTCCGCTGGGTAAACGAGTGACATAATAATTATACATGATTGATACTGGGTTGAATAATGACATGATTGGTACTGTTACACGGGCTATTAGTGTGCATGTGTTTCCAATGGACAGTTCTTTAGCTGTGCCAGCCAGCTCGGGGGCTCGGTTATATTCTCCGCATTCCCCAACTGAACATCGGCACTTCCTAATGAGTTCGTATTGCATAATTGAGTGATTTTAAGTCTCCATTAATCGATTGCTGTTTTCTTGCTAATTACCCAACGCTAATTAACAGCGGGCTTCCGCAAACGAGGTCGTTTGCGGCCTCTTCCTTTTGTTGGCACCACGGCGAGGCGCGCGATTGTAAATTTCGCTCAAAGTGGCGACGCGTCCACGAATCCGAGGGCGCATTAATTCGCAGCGACAGCAAATTTGTAATTCCTCACCGCCGCCGTCGAATGCAACGCGAGAAGACGACGCTTAATTATTCGTATTTGTCAAAATGCGTAATTGCCTGCTGACATTGCGCTGAATTCTTATTGCTACTACCATAGTTTTTGTTATTTTCAAAAGGGTTGTTGTTGTTGTTTGCCGTGACTCGAGCACACGGAGTGGTCACCAGCGTGCGGCGACAGAAGAGAGCCTTGCGTGTCGAAGCCGGCGACATGTTACTTCACCCTCTCATCTCTCATCCCTGGACGCGTCCTCCGCCCAAGTGTTGCTTGTAACCGAGCTAGATGTAATGCTTAATTAGCAGGAGTTAAGCTCACGAATCGGCCGATCGATCCATCAATCGCGAATCGGTCTGCGAGCAAAGACAAAGAAAAAAAACCAAAGATCCCCCGTGTAGCCTTAACAGACTGTTGGGAAAGTGATGTTAGCGAGCACCTATTAAGAAGAACAATACTGCACTCGAGGGGAGTGGGTGGTGGCAGAACCGCGCCCGGCCACCTTTGTCTCCCCCATTGTTGACCGTTCACATACCGCACCAGGTGCGTACTCAGTTAAGGCTGAGTCGACCTAGGGGGCGAGGCCCCATCTGTGACGCGTCTGATAATTCGTCACCGCTTGATGGCCGTGAGCGGGAATCCAAATCTGGTTCGTCACCGCCGCGCCACGGCTCACTTCCCCACACTGAGTTAACAAGACAAAAATCACCCGTGTAGCCCCTAAAGACTTTTGGGACAAGTCGATGTTCGTGAGCAATTATGGAAATCGGAACGGCACGCGAAGGTCCTGGGTGGTCTGCAACACGCTCGGCCACCTTTGTATCCCGAGTGGCGATGTCCACACCGCACCAGGTACTCATTGACTCTCAGTCGGACCTAGGGGAGGCCCAGGACCGGCTCAATGAAGCGTCACTGGGTGTTGGCGGCCCTGAGCCGAAATCGAACTCTGGTCCCCTTGTTTCTGAGCTCAGCGCGCTAACCGCTGCACCACCGCTCCCCCGCCGCCAGTTAACGAGCGCACAGCCGCGTGCGCTTCCTCGCGCGTGGCCGTCTGCGGTAAACTCACGTGTCCAATATAACGGCCGCCGATGATAACATTTTTTTTTTTAAGCCGAGGTGCAGCTTCCTCAATTACCTCCTGAATGCGGCTCGCCTCCGCTGACCCCAATACGGCGCGGGGCGGCGCGTGTCAACATATCTGTCACATAAAGGGGGCATTAGATGCCCCCATTTACCGCAGTAAACCCGTCCGCGGTGGATGTGGCTCAGGCTGGAGCAGCGCCTCTCTCGCGCCCAGAGGCGGCTGCGAGTTCAAAGCCCGATTTGTGAGTTGCCACAGCGCTGTCATCAACACCAAAGACAAAGACCCCCCCCCCCCGGTGTAGCCTTCGACAGACTGCTGGGGCAAGTGCTATTAGCGAGCACCGATGAAGGCCGGCACGTCGCACGAGGGGTGGGTGGCCACCACCACGCCCGGCCGCCTTTGTCTCCCCAATGGCGATGTTTACTACACACCGCACCAGGTACTTATTTCAAGCTGAGTCTACCTAGGGGAGGCTCAGGACCAGTTCATATAAATGTCACTGGTGCGAGCGAGAATTGAACTCGGGTCCCGGGTTTGTATCGCAGCGCGTTAACGTCTACACTACCACCACCATCACCACCACCATCACCACCACCACCATCACCACCACCATCACCACCGCCACCACCATCACCACCACCATCACCGCCACCACCATCACCACTACCATCATCACCACCACCACCATCACCACCACCATCACCACCACATCACCACCCCATCACCACCACCATCACCACCACCATCACCACCACCATCACCACCACCATCACCACGACCACCATCACCACCACTATCACCACCACCACCATCACCACCATCACCACCACCACCATCACCACCACCATCACCACCACCACCATCACCACCACCACCACCATCACCACCACCATCACCACCATCACCACCATCACCATCACCACCACCACCACCATCACCACCACCACCATCACCACCACCACCATCACCACCACCACCATCACCACCACCATCACCACCACCACCATCACCACCACCACCACCACCATCACCACCACCACCACCATCACCACCATCACCATCACCACCACCATCACCATCACCACCACCACCATCACCACCACCACCATCACCATCACCACCATCACCACCACCATCACCACCACCACCACCATCACCACCACCATCACCACCATCACCACCACCACCATCACCACCATCACCACCACCATCACCACCACCATCACCACCACCACCATTACCACCACCATCACCACCATCACCACCATCACCATCACCACCACCATCACCACCACCACCACCATCACCACCACCATCACCACCACCACCATCACCACCATCACCACCACCACCATCACCACCATCACCACCATCACCACCACCACCATCACCACCATCATCACTAGCCATGGTCTATCCACTGCTGGACGAAGGACGCCCTTTATCCAGCCATCACCATCCCTCGCAGTGTTTTTTATGATTCGTGTAGACTGTAGACAGCGTAGAGGCTCGCGGCTGCCCTGATTAATACTGCGGTGTGGCACCGAGCGTGATGACGCTGCGCGCCGCCTGTTGCGCCGTGAACGTTAAAGATCCCGTGGCGTCATGAACAAGAGTGGGCCACTGTGTGCTGGCGTCAGGGTCCAGATTTTCCAAACATGAAAATGACACCGCACTTTACTCAATTGGGATGACTGTAAACACATCGATAATCGCCCCCTGTTGGCAGATTACAATGCCTGATTGCAGGCCAGGTGCCCACAGGGACGGCTGCCACTGGGGATGTCCTTTCAGAACAGACGTGTGGAGATGACATGCGACGTGAAGCACTCCCAGTGTGTAGGAGAGCGGTCTATCAAAAACACGTAATTCTCATGACCGAGAACGCTTTTTTGCCACGTCCCAAACTCCCAAGTTGCTGAAATGAAATTTCTGAAAAAATTCGAGCATCCTCCCCATGCACCAAATATGAAAAGGGCAGAAGCATCTTCTCTGGTGAGACTCCCCAATGCCATCATCATTATCATCATGATCCACTGTTGGATGGAGGCTTTGCCGAAGCCCTCATCATCCTTCAGTGTCACGTGCCAAGACAATGGGCAGGTCCCTCGCCCCCGGCCCCGCCTCTGTGCACCCAGCAACATGAATTCGTTCACCACAGGTGGGGTAAACGGTGGGTAATTCCTCCTCTGTCAAAATATCCTGCCGGCATGCAAGAGTGGGTTAAATACCCTCGAGAGAGACTCTCTTGGGGAGCTCCCTTTCGTGGAAGGCCCGTCCGCTGGCAGGGCTGTGAACAGGACATTGCGGGCCTGCGCCCTTCGCCTGCACCGCCACCGGCGCGAGTCTTTCTTTGTATTCTGAGTTCTCTGATCTTCCACCCACACTCACTAATGATCCCATCGCAGACCCCCTGGGAAACGTTCTTGACACTCAATGAGACTTTCCTGGCTAAATGCAGTGAATAAAATAATTCTCACGCCGTCCCCGCACCGACGTGCTACTTGTGACAACCCTTGGCATTCGAGCGCTGTGCAGTGCCGCATTTCAGCCGGGAAACACTCGGGAACGCCGCTCTTCCGGGAATGATTTTGGTCTCCAGCCACATCCACATCTCGCCGTATCGCCTCCTTGTCATACCGCGGCAGTGTGCGTGTCGAGGGCTGTGAAAACTCACGTACGACAACATTGAGGTTCGATGACTAACGCAGGCTCGGTCTTCGTCGCCGCGTCTCCTGTCCAACCCTCTACACCGGTCTTTGCCCAATATTCTGCACAGGCCATCGCTTCTGGTATCGGCATTGCCACATCTTGAGGAGTGCATTGTGGTACTGCAGGGCATCTCAGGAGATGGCCCATGGGTTGCTTCTCCTGACAAGCACACATTGGTCGGTTGTTGTGTAGAAGCCCCCCCATGATTTCATGAGAGAGTTGCATCTGCCGAAATCCACTCTCTTCAGTCGGGTTAGGCTCCACCAGGTAATCCTTTTGGAATTGGTGCCAGATGCGGGCTTCTCACTGGGGGTGGTTCTTCGCCGGCTCCAGGCGCGGTCGTGAAATGCGACACCCTCGCACTCCCAGTGCCGCTGTGTTGCTGTTGCTCTCGAGACCGCGTTGACGGCATCCGTCGCCATTTCTCACTTCACAGCATGGGCCGCGTGAAGGCTGCCACGTGGCACTCCTGGTGGTTGTGCCTTGCGCCGATACTAATGAGATGTTAACTACCTCGCCTGGTATACAGGTCATGGGTTCGAATCCGACCCCTACGATGTTCTCCCCGTGGTCGCGTGGATTTTTGTCCAGGTCCTCCGTTTTTCCCCTCCACATTTAGAAACGCACGTTCGGAGTATTTGTCTGCTCTACATTTCCACACGATAAGCCACTTTCGCTGCGCTATAGTTTATAACCATATCAGGTGAGACATTACACCGTGAGCTCACTCACGTGCGGCCTCTAAGTGCCGTAGCCGAGTGGTGGTGGTGGTGGCTATGCACGTGGCCTGTAATAACCCGGCACTGCGTGGGCAGCAACGAGGCTTGGTAAACGACACAGATGTTGCAAATGTTCCTTCCCCTGGGCGTCTAGGAGGTGCCGTACCCTGGCTCGCCAGGAGCACGCAGTAGAGCAAATGTGGACTCCACCTGTTCCGTCTGGATGGGATACAGCGTTTCCCCCTCGCACACGTGCGTTTCTCCAGATACTCCGGTTTCCTCCCAGATGTAAACATTCATTCATTGGCCGGCAGCACCTTAATGCACTCGAGCAGGGGTCGGCAACCAAAATAACAATTCGGTAAAAAACAAACATCAACATGTTAATGCACTGTGGTGGTGATTTCGAGACGATGGTCCCCAATCAATAACGTCACGAAGCAGCCCTTGAAGAGCCGCAGGTTGTCGACCCTCATATAGAGGAGCCCAGAGCTTGGGCAATTGTTGGCTGTGCCGGCTCAACACGTGGCTGCCTTTCCGTCCATCCGTGGTTCTTCCTTGCACCTCCGAGTCACCCCCTCTCTCTCTCTCCCTATATCTCTCTATCTCTCTCTATCTCTCTCTGCGAGAGCGAGCTGACACTGTGGAGTGGCGGCGCAGCCGGCCACGCGAAATACGACGACCGGGTGCTCCAGAATGGGACTGGAGGTGAATGACGAACGTTGACCCGGGTGCTCCGCACTGGTACTCGGCACAGCCTCCTCGATGCGTTCCGCTTCCACCCGAGGCCACCAATGAATGCAACGACGAGACAACGGCGTCCCCGACGCATTCTCACTTCCAGCGCTCTACGGATCTCACGCTCAACCTCCTCTAAATGAGAATAATCCCGACAATATGTTACCGCTCCGTGTCTTTGCGGTGCTGCGGGTTTAAAACTCACGAGTCGCTCTCGATTGGACTCGCCGAATCCATCGAGCGGAGCGCTGGTTTTTCCTAACCTGCGGCCGGAGCCCGGGCACAAAGCTGGTTTAATTAACAGCGACTGCTTCCAATTGCGCTGTGTTTCACGCAGCGCCTAATGAAAATAAACTCGACGGTGAGCCCCCTGGATTATTTTATTTGGTGCGGGGGGACTCGATTACCAAGAGCAGCAGCTGCAGCAGCTGCAGCAGCAGCAGCGATGTTATCCGAGGGATACGGCAGTCAGTCGCGCAGCAATAGCAGGCGAGGCCCTCTGCTGTGAATGAAAGTGATCGATCAATGGGCAGGACTGTCGTGTGCGCGCATAAATTCAACTCTTGAATACCCATTTCTTTACAACTGCTTTTGACGTGTAGCTTGTTGGCATGGTTGCCTACGTACGGTGCGAAAGAAGTTTAACATACATGCACACAACTCGGGAAGGGATGCGAGTTCACCTCCTGGTCCTGG